TTGGCTGTTTGCACCTGGGTCAATAACCACCCGGTCACGATATTCACAGTTCATTGACATCCAATGGAGTGTTTAAATTTGACTAATGCAATCTCACAACCTAAAGTCAGGGCACTCGGAAAGCAATTATACTTGAGGAGACCAAACATTCTCTGGAAAACAACTCACAATGAATTATTATAGCATTATTTTATCAGCATTAGTATAAAATTACTTTATTTGCCAGGCAATAATTGTGTGCACTATTATCCCTAAATAGCAACACCAGCTGAATAACAGAACAATTGGTTCAGAGATTAAGTTAAATTCAGACTAAAAACTTGTTCAAAAGCTTTGTTTTCTAACCCACAGCTTGCCTTTCTCCCCATGGCTTCTAATTTTTTACAATTTTTCCTTTTTCCTTTGAAATGAAGATTTTACAGCCTGAGCAGTAGTGAATTCTATTTGGAGATGAGCCCTCCATGGACTTTTCACTGATAGGGACACTGATGAGGGCAGTGCTATGACCTCAGACAATAACACCACCGAGTTTAGAAGGAAACGGCAGGCAGAGTTTAGTTCCTCTCTGAATTCAGTTCTTGCTACAGAGGGCCTTTGATAGAAGACAGAAAGAGTGTTTTAGTCATAGTCACTGTCAGCTCTGCTCGAGTCTTCTGAGCCCACAAACTTCCCGTGATAAAGCCCCATGCCCAAAAGTGCATCACGATTAAACGCCAGCCGGAACTCCAGTTTTCCTTGTTTAGCATCATTATTGTTTTCACAGTGACAGCACAACTGCATGCAAAACTGGTGTCTTTTCCCAGCATCTATACCAATGAACACAGCACAGCTTTGAGAATAATGCTATCTGAGATAATGTCACAGTGATAATCATCTGCTCCACCACAGCGCAGAGCCAGAGGAAAAGAAAACAAGTTAATTGCAGTGCAGGGCATGGGAGTGGAAAGGCTGAAAGAAATTTAAATGGTGGAGCAGATTCATTCACCTCTGACATCTTCTTAAGGAGCAACTTGGCCAAAGGTAATTCAATGCCTTTGCTTTTCAAGGTATTTGAGCAGAACTTGCTTGTACTTGCACACAAAGTCATCCAGCACCTCCAGAAAAGATTTGGTTTGCCAAAAACAGAATATAATTTTAGCTTTACACGAATTACTTCAGTCTTCTCACCTAAAAACTGTGCTCATCTAAGCATTCAGAACGTGTGTGGAGAGCGTGTTTCAAACTGCTAATGAAGCAGGTTAAGGCAGTGATGAATTGGAGCTAAGACCATAAGCTATCACAACCCCCTTTTGAAGGGCTCTGCTCCCTTGTAAACCTCTGCTTCTTTCAAATCATCCTTACAAAAAATCCTAAAGATTCATAAATTCTGACCTGACTTTATGACATCAGCCCTAAAAATGAATCTCTGGTGAAAAATCATCTATGTATATCAAAGAATAGAAAGAATATAAAGCACTCAATTCTGGTCCCACTCCCACACAGTCATCTTCATCTTTTACAGCTGCTAATGGAAAAATCAGCCAAATCCACTCCATCTCCTCAAGTCATCTTGTACTTTGTTTCCTTCTGATGTCCTAGGAAGGAGAAACTCAGTTTCTCTTGCTAGAGTCAACCCTTCAGTGAAAGAAGAATTAACCACTGAACTAAAACAGAGAGCACTACATCAGTAAATCGAGGAGACTGAGGGCAGATGCTCCCATCTCCAAATTTTCATAGGGGACATATGCAAAGTCTCTGAAATTTGGTACATTATAGATGCTGTTTAGTTCACTAAATATGGTCAATACTGCCGGATAATTCCTCTCAATAGTGGTCTGAGTAGAAGGGATAAATTCTACTTACAGCTTGCATCATTTTAATACCTCTTTGCACAGGAAAAAAAGATCACAATTCATTGAGCTAAAAGCAGTAAAATAACTGCTGTTTCCTCAATGTGAGTAGCTGTTTATTCCAGCATGTTACTACTCCAAATGAAGGTATTATCTCTCCTCTGGATTCTTCCCAACAGTTCATAAGACAAAAATGAATAAAAATGAATCTTTGTTATTTCCATACAGATCATTTCTCTGTCAGAATGAAAGCCCATGCACTGTTTAGGCACTCACTTTAGGACTTCTTAGCTCTAAGCTGTAATCTATAACCTACTGATCTTTACTCCAATATTTGCAACAGCTAGTAATAACAATCAAATAAAATGCTTCCAAAGCTTCCTAATGATAGCCAGAAATTTAGCACTGAGTGTTCACATCGGTGGAGGAGTAGGTAGCCACAGTTTCCCACCCGGTGAATAGACTCAGTCTGCCACTGCAGGTTGGGACTTCAGATGAGCAGCTCGTTTCTCTGCTTTGCCCTGAAACGTGTATGCGAGTACAGCAGTCGGTCTGACAGAAGGCATTAAGAAAACAGCTCTTATGCTTTTTAATTTATTTTGTAACCATTTGTAGCCACATTTATTTCTGTAGCTAGCATACAGTGGTTCCAGGGCCAAGAAGCCAAACACTGGATTTTTCACTTGAGTAAAATGCCCATCTGAATTGCAGCCCTTACAGCGAAAGCACCTCAGACTGTCAGAACTGTACAGCAGATCTCAAAACCACCGTCCACTTCTGCTTCTGCACAATTCTTTAACTTCCTGACCTCTGACCCTCTGAAAAGCAGAGGAAACTCTTTGTTTGCTTATTTTTGTCAGTTTTTGAAAATACTTTTTGTTATTTTGCTGCTGATGCCAACACAACTTTTTCACCTAAATAGTTTGAAGATGAAAGTAAAGGGAACTCTAAATAAAGGCAAGTAAGTTTTCTTTTTGTACTCTGATTTAAGGTAAGCAACGTTTGAAATAAAGTAGATACAGTTTGCAGCTTGAATTATTAGGCAAATGACTTCCACATCTGTTCTTGGAGTGTCACTTGTAAATATTGATTATGAAATTAATAAAAAAAATTATCACAGTTATAAACATACCTAGAGGACAAAACCCAAAAAATTGGGCTGGAAGAGAAGCAGCTCATTATTCAGTCCTGTTAGAAATAACATAACCCTTCTTCATTTTTCTCTTCAGTAGCAAGTACGTTATTAACACAAGTAAACTTTCTCCATTCTGTGTTTCTTATCACTAGGTAACCTTTAGCTTGCAGAAACTTAATAATTTATATTCCAAGATCAAACTGAGAGTGTCATATGTAAGGTGGTGTGCAGCAGAGAAAGAAACAATGGTTCAATAGCAGTAGAACAGCTCATCCATATTGCAGTGCAGATTCTTACAGGGGCAGAGATGAGCATTGGGAGCTGCAGGGAAGGCCAATACACACACACACACACACAGTTGGTCAGGTTGGCAGATATCCACATGCTGTGTCTTCCTCCATTTCTTGGCACAGCAGCAGTTATACCAACATGACTTAGTCATTTTGTACAGTGCAATGTGAATTTTACATTGAGCTTACTGATTTGTGATTTATGCTATTAAAAATGGGATTATGTTAATCCCATGAGGTGCATATGTATATTATTTCCTTAAACACAGTGTGACTTTTGAAAAAAAAAAAAAATTACTGTCCTTTCCAAAGATCTTTAGCAAGGGTTCTACAAGGAAACCTCTTTTTTACACTTAGGAGCAAGACTTCCTCTTTTGATGGCTTTTATCATTTTTACTGCAACCAAAAAGCTGTACATTGATAATAAATCTATTTCCTTTGGTTTTTTCTCAAACTACATTTATTCATATTGAAATGTGGAATAGCAGACTCTTTCCTTACAGTGAAATCAGGAAAGTACCTAAGGGCACAATGGGGACGTTTCTGTGAACGTGACTTTCTTCTGTTATGAAAAGTAAAAAGTCCAAGTCATTGACTGATGGGAGCAGACACCTCCAGGTAGGAGGCTGGCTCAAAGAAGGAAACAAACTAATTTCTCCCATGGTCTAAATCACGATCAGAGACACTAAGTCATAGTATGTTTATTTCTTGGTCACAAAAATATGCTATACTGAAACTAGAAAATACTGCCTGGAGTGGGTGCAAGCAGGGAGGCCAGGACGTAGGCAGCAAGGGACTTACCTAGTAACTCGTCTTGTTTCTATACTTAGTCTCTCACCATCTGCTCTTGGAAATTACCAGAAGCAGGACATGCACTTATTATCCCATTGATCCTACCCAAGTCTGGTAAGCAGTAAGGACTTTTTCTAAATTCCAAATACTTCTGCAAGTAAAAATAGGAGAGATAGCAACAACACTTCCAAAAAAACCCACCATAAATTTTAAATGCAAATTATAACTTTTATATCCAAATTAAGTGATTTACCATATTAAAATAAAAGAAATCTTTCAAAAAGACATTTTTCAGAGTGCCTGTCCCACCCTCTGGGCAACTAGCCCCACCTCACCTGTTCTGCCAGAAGCTGGCATGTCCATGTGAGCCTGCCTCTCCCCTGTGCCTCATTTTTCCCCATCATTCTTCAGTGCCACAAAACAAATACCTTTAGGGTTTCTGATCACTCATATCACTCTCCTTCCTGGAAATTACAGAAAAATACAATTTTTCTTGATGAGCCCTTTGGTTTGTGTTTGGTTTTGTGGTTTGTTTTTGGGGTTGTTTGTTTGTTTGGGGGTTTTTTGTGTTTTTTTTTTTTAATTTTATTTTTGGTTTGTGACCCCTATAAAAAATTGTAGGTGGAAGTTTACATTGCAAAGTTGGACCACTGCGGATGGGCACTGGACCTGTCAGTCTCCCTGGAAGGCTGGAGTTAGAAACTAACTGAAAACCTTGTAATTTCAGCACTTCTATTAATTTGACATGAAGTCCAACCCACTGATTAAAGATCACAGAGATCAGTTTAAAAGTCCCACGTTTGTAGACACACCTGTTGCCATGGCAAAAACAGGTTTTTTCCTTCAGTATAGCTAAATTGGCTTTTATTTGTATTTATTGACCAGACTGCGTATCAAGCCAAAACTCTGTTTTGTTTATGTTAATTTACTCATTATAGTTTTTAGTAGGGTGTGATGAAACACAGGTCTGCCTCTTTCTCCAGAGGGGCTCTTCTCAAAGTCTCTCCAACCCTGGGCCCCTGGGTTGCAGATGAGGTACGTGTGGCATGGCTGAGGTCCCAGGACGGGTAGGTGTGGGAGGGCAGGAAGGCAGTGCCTCTGTGCCAAGGAGGGCAGATCTCTGAGAGGCCTCCAGAAGCAAGACTGGCCCTGGCTCTGATGTGCAACAGCCACAGACTACCCAGAGTGCTAGTCAGCTGCAGGGGAAGGGAGGCTGCAAAATCCCAGCAGAGTAAGGGATATTGTAAAGCAAATGGTAATTTTAATAAGTGTTGCAAGAGAAGGAAAGCCAGCCTTTGTGCTGGGTCTGCTATGTGTGTATTCATAAGCCAGGGGAAAAATTTCCTTGTCCTAAAGCAACTCTGAAATACTACACAGGGACTGCAGTTACCTAATCACTTCTTCATATTTTCTTCAATACTGATGCTGCAGAGGAAATTAAGCAATAAAAACTAGCATCTCTCAATTGCAACTTTTGCAACACGCCAGGTAACTTCCAGCCAGCACAAGAAGCTGCATTTCATTAGCATACATATTTACATAAAGTACCATGAGCAGCCACAGGGCTTCCAATAAAAATACTGAACCTCCTATGTCAGAGCAGAAAGCAGATATAAGGAGAAAATAAAAGCACTGATCTTTTTCCTATTATTATGCTTAAAAATTGTCAGGTGTTTGCAATTTCCTTTTAAATTAATTTGCCAGAGGAGAATTTGGCCATACTAAATGCAACTCCATTGCATCTTGCTCTGCAGAGAGGGACTGTCTGTTAGAAATCTCTAAAAAGATCTGTACTCCTTTAAATTTATTTAGAATTACTTTTTTTAGTCAAATGCATTAGGCATCTCCTGTTTTTCAGCCATGAGCATTCATGAAGAAGTGTAACAACTTTTTTTTCTAAGCAGAATTTCCTCCATCATCAATAGTTACTTATAACTTCACTACTGATTCAACTAGAGTATAATCCCAGGTATGCAGGCTCTTCCCAAACATATTTTTTTTAGTATTGATGGTTTTCACTCTGCCTGAGCTTCAGTCCAGCAGATGAAGGGCTCCCACCTGCACCCTTCTTGGCTGTGCTCAGGAACCACAGGCAAACTCCCACAGACTAGCTGGTGCAAATTTATTTCTTGAGAGGCAAAGGAACACCCTGCTTATTGAGAGTCCAGCACTGACAACCAAAGGTTTTAGTAAAATAAAGCATTTTTCCAGGTAGCACTGCTAAAGTATCTACAGTAATGGAACAGGTTCTGGGTCCTGCTTGCCTCGCTTGACCTTTTGTTGCCTGCTGGCCTCAATCTCACTCTTACAACATATCACCAATTCTCATTGCTGCTCAAGAAAGGGAAAAAAAGGGGTAGAGTTTTCCCAAAAATACCATGCTACATTCACAGCTTATTTTACTTGACACTTGACAAGTGTGTGTTTATCACCTTTCATGGAAGAAAATATCACTAGAGGGATGTTTTATACATCTAGTTAGTGGTAGATAAATATTTGGGAATGTGCTTAAAAAGTCAGGCTTATCAATGCATCATTGTCAGAACAGAAATCCAGTTCCCAGAACCTTCACTGGGACTGTTTGCACTAACGTGCTTCTCTGGGTTATGGCACAAGTGCTCAGCATCTCCCATGTTGTGTTACCCAGCTAGGGAACAAATTAAATAAGTTCCACTTAAGAAGTGTGAAGTGCTTTTGTTTTAAAATTTAAATACATGTAATAAAATTTAAATACATGTAATAAATTACTTCTAAGTTATCACTCAATCTATCAAAAGCAAAAATTACATATGAACTCTACTGAATAAGTCTGAATATAATATTTTGGAATACTGCTTGCAGACCATCTGAAAAACAGAAAAGCCACATATCTCTGACCCAGCAAGTCGTGCAAGACAAGATGCTGCTGCTGTTAGTGATGCTAATTGATTTCAGTAGGAGTGGTATTGCAGTTGAGTTTACAAAGGCCCAAAATCCTATGGGCTGGATTCTGCTAATTTTGAGTCTTAAATCTGGTCTATTATGATTTGCCATAGTACCAGTCATACTTAATGCTAAATTCCAATCTCGACCTTTCATCTTTTCATAAAATTGCTTATAACTTGCCAAATTGCCTTTATTTGAAACTGTGATTGGTTTCAGGCCAAAAGTGATTTTTTTCTTCCCATGAAAAACTATGAGTGAGTCAGACCAGCAAAAGTATTCATTCACACAACTCTAACAGCTGACACAAGAGAACTGGTTTGACATATTTTTTCCCCCTCCCATTTCTGAGGAAATGTTTTTCAAATCAATCCAGAGGTTTTTTCCACCCGACTTCACCTCATTTTCTACACATTTCCTGTCGCCCAGTATAGTTGCTCTTTGCCACACCTGATCTTCCCTTACTGCCCTTTGTCCCCAAAAAGCCAACACCACCCCCTCCCAAAAACCTGTGGCAGGGTGAAGACTATGCAAAGGGTGATGGAAAGCACGGTGATAAAACCTGGATGCTGAGAACAAAGCTGAATACTGGGGGACATTCTCATGCAACTCCTTCACATCATTGCCTTCTTGGTCCCTCACTGATTTTCTGTGAAGTATCTCCCATTTCAATTAACTTTAGGTTAAAATTTGCTTCTTGACTTTCTTTCTTGAATTTCCCTGCAGGTCACTGCGGACTTGTCACTAATGCTGGGATTATGGGGCCATCAGCTCCTACACACTTGAATATTGAGCATTTTAGAGAACCAACTGAAGTTAACTGGACTCAAATATGTTACAGTAAAGATGCTCACCTTGACAAAAGAAGAAAAGGGAAGGATAGTAAATGTATTCAGTGTTGTAGGTCGCCTAGCACTTAGTGGTGGAGCCTAGTTTCCTTTCAAAGGATTTAATGTCAGCTTAAAGTATAACACTCACTGTGAGGAAAAACCACCCTTTTTCTTTCCTAAGGCTCATATACTAAAAACTGGTATACATGCAGAATAGCAGCTGATTTACAATCCTGGGACTTGGTATAAATTCGGAAAAGTTTACTTTGGACTTATACTTCTTCTGCCACTTTTGAAACGGTGCAAAGCCTGTTGGATGCACAAGCTGTCCTCAAGTATTATTGCAGTGTAGTTGGTACCCTTATGTGCTGACAACTAAAACATCTGGGTGTGCACAGAGGCCTTATTGCAGAGGAAGCTCTAGTCATGGGAACCGAGATGTCTTTGCAACACTAAGTGATTAGGGAAACAAATAAACTATGAAATGACACCACCTACTCTGATTTTTTATCTTTAGAAATTATGGTTTGGCTGGTTTAATTCAGTCCCTGTCAGACCACTAGTATACCTTCAGCTGCTGCGAGATGCAAGCACTGCAAATGTTAACATTTGGAGGAAAACACAAACAGGATTTGGGACAGGACCCACTAGCTGTAAATATGTTATTTAAATTAGAAATGCAGGGAAAATATCAGCTGCCTAATGTATTATTTTGTATGGAGGACCAAATTCTGTGGACATTTGCTCTCCTGGGACCAGATGCCTTTTACTTAAATGCCAACAACAAAAGCCAGTGACTTCTGGAAATAAGCAAACCACAGTGTGCTCTGTTAAGACCAGCAGAACCTGATCTATTCACAAGACTGTATGAAGCAGGTGAAAACATATTTAGACATACGATTTTAAGGAGCAGAAGGGACTTCTCATGGAAAAGCCCCTTGACTTCCACAAGGTCAGAACACAGTGGAGGACTGCACCCACAGGACCTGGCTTCTGTTTGTTAGAGTCAGCACACAGCTGTGCGCTTCAGAACCTTCCCTTGTGCAGCAGGAACAGCATTAGCTTCTCAGTTTTCACTGGAGAAACAGATTTCCTTCCCTAGTGTTAAGTTTCAAGCAATTTTTCTACATCCTTTCTATGAGTCATTACAAAATACACCTAAGGAATCAATGGGAAATCAGGCAGTCAAGACTGTCTCATGCTAAGCTAACAGAAAACTACATTTAGAGCTCACATTTCACTTGTGGGATGTTCTAAGAGAGTTGTGAAAAAGGGAACTTATTGAGAAAATTCCCCATTTTGATATTTTGTGAGATGCTAAACTGGATCTATTCAGCTTTCTGAAATTACTTTCTGCAGTTCAAAAGTAGTTTGCTAAGAAAAAAAAATCAGTGGTAGAGAAAGAAAACCTCCTTTCCTGTTTTCTCTCCTACATTTGTATGGCAAAGGATTGGTACCCACAATAGTAGGATTCCAGACCTGGCACTGATTGAGCAGTGTCCCCCTGTGACAGGCTTTGCATGCTGGGGGAGTGCTGTTTTGTGGTCATTTCAACCACACTGAAGAGCCTATCATTAGAATCAAGCCAGACAGGGCTAGGCACCTCTACCAGGCTTGTCCTGAAGAGGAAATCTTTGCAAGTCACCTGCTGAATTCCCAAGTCTCCAGCAAGCAGCACACACCTGACTGCCACGAGAATGCTGAAAGTACAGTGACAACCAACACCACAGCTCAGGCTGGTGCGGCACTGAAGAGTGGCAAAAGAAGCAAGAATTTCCAGGCCCAAGCCAAAAGGAGCAAGGAGAGAAACTGGAGGGGGAAGAGCTGCCTACCAAGCAGAGGATGATATAACAACTCTGCAGCTCCTGACAGGGTAGTCAGACCGGGTGTCACCAGCCGGTCTGGGACACGCTGCCATTGCCATGGTCCAATCAATTGTATGGGGCAAGATCACTTCCAGCTCCATCCTACCACCTTGCTTGGTTTCCCAATTTTTAATTTCCTTCTCATTCAGTTAGTTTCAGATCAATTTTTATAAAAAAGCTTATTCGTTCATTCTGCTGTTGACAATGGTCTTTGCCCAAGCTTCCTTGCTTCCTGCAGCATCTGGCACTGCACAGCACTGTGAGTGGAGAGACATGAAGAATGGGGACAAGAAATTCTGCTGCCATGTTTATGCAGTAGTACTCAGAGCTGAATCAGAAGTGCCAACCAGACTCTGGGCCAAGGAGCAAGCAAACAAGCCTCCCACAATCATATGTTAGCATCTGTGCCCATGCAAACTGTAGAGCTTCTGTTTGTAGAATCTGAGGTTTTATTTGAGAAATATTGCAATTGGTTAATTTCTGGTATCAAAAAGCTGCCCCTAAACTACTAAAAATAATTCCATCCCTGAAAGCTTTCACATACAAGAATGTATCTTAAAAAATTAAGTCCTATCAACAATAACTCACTCAGGAGAAAAGGTGCAGGAGAAAAGATAGAGGTCTGAACCAAGCTCTGTTAAGTCGGTGGAAAGACTCCTGCTGCTTTCAAGACAGTGAAGATCAGCTAGTAGATTAGTTCCATCTCAGCTCAGTAGATTAGTTCTCCTTAATAAGTCTTAAAAGTCCTCCAGGCTCTGTAAATAACTATATATAGCCAGCAATTCTTATACAGCATTGGTAGAAGAAGCAGGCATAGAGCATATACAGAAGATTAATACCAAATAAATCCCTAAGGCAGACACATCACAGCACAGAGTAATTATCAACAGCAGGGAAAGGGGCCCTTCTCATCAGCTGATGTGTGGCAGTCAGAAAGTACCACCAGACACAGAATTTACTGTGAGATTCTTTTGGAAACTATCACCATGTGGGTCTTGGTGCACAAGTTTATGAGCAACTTGGGCTGTTTCTACATTCTGACACTGGAAATGACTGCTGAAGGCAACTCCTGAGCACCTGGAGGGGTAGAATGAGCTTGCAGATGTCTCCCCAGAATGTGAGTAGAATTTGTGTCTATTATTACAGCTAAGAGAACAAATTTCTTTTTTTTTCTAGTGCACAGACAAGGGAACATGCAGTCCCTTCCTTTCTGGAGTGATTTAACAATTGTTGCTTATCTAGGCACCTACAATGCCCAAACAAAACGCTAACTTAGAAATGCTCTTTCCAACATCTGGAATCTTTCCTTACTTAAATTTTCAATTACTGTGCCAGTCACCTAAGAGTTCAAAAGGTTTTGTTTTCCTGGGTCTTTTACCGATGCTGTGGTAAAAATCTGAAGTGCAAGCCATAGAAGGAAGATACAATTATGGTGAAAAATCAGCCCCCACTGCACCAGACTACATCCACCTCCCTGCAAAATGCTGTGTAAGAGAGTTTGGAGACGTGTTTCTTTTAAGGTGACATATTAATGAAGATCCTAATTTATCTGTTGACCACTAAACTGAATTATCATACCGACATATTTACCCAGCATACAAAAAAAGCACTCCTTTACCAGCTTTAAATGAAAGTGCAAAGCCCAGCACATGCAGGAATAGCTTACCTAAGCCTGGGAGATGTGATGTGTTTGTGCCTGCATATTTTTTCAATTCATTAACTAAAGACTAGGGGGCTTTTAGTTCTGTCAGGATGACCGATTATTAAAGTTTGTGCTCCCTAGGCTCTGGAGAGCTGTTGGATGATCTCTCAGGTCATTATCTGAAACATCTAAACCTTCTACTAAATGCTACATGAGTGCTGATTCTGAGGAACCACAGTCCTTAATTTCCCCTTGGCAGTTTTTCCTCAGCATGTCTGGCAGGTCACTCCACCCACAGCAGAGCAGTGACTTCTGTAAGTTTGCACTGCCTGCACAGCAGTGGATGAAGGAACCCAAAACACACCCAGACCCCAAACTTTGCCCCAACCTGAGGTTCTTTGGCATGACTACCAAAGCAAACTTGCTGTGGGAGTAAATCAGTAACACTGTCCTTCAATGGGGTCTATGTGCTCCAGCTGCCTTTAGGGCAGAGAAGCAGAGGAACGCTGTACTTTGCAGTCATCTGAGGATCTTAAAGGGCTCTCAATGCTGTCATGCTGCTTTTCTCTAAAATCAATTGCTTTTATAATGGCACTTGTCTAGAAGTAAGAAGCCAAGCTCTATCCCAAGAGTTTTCAATCTGCCAGGCAAATATCAAAGTTTTGATGGAAAGTAGGATTTGCCTTCAGCTATTTACTGGCTACATTATTAATCAGAATTCAACATTTATGAAGATATATCAATACTCTAGAAAATCATGCTGACATTTTCTCTGGAAACACACTCTTGGCCACTCCACACAGCTATTTCAAAATCAATATGCCCCTGGCATACAAGTGGTTTTTTTGGTGCTTTACAATTAGCAAAAAAGAAATATTTTCGATAACACTGTACATTCACACAACTAGATGATTTTCTCGAAAGAAAACTTTAACTGAGACTATTTCTCCTGGTTCTGACCCCAGGCTTCTTCCAGCAGCAAAGACAGTATCTAGCAGAATATGTGGTGGCAGAAGGCAACAGCAGGGCAAAACCCACCATGATGCTCAGGACTGAACTTCTACCAGAGGAGGACCGCTAGTACTCCAGAAAAACTAGGCAGTTAGGAATTACAGGCTTAGTAACACTGGCCCAGGGCTGATAGGGAAAAGACCGGTGGAAATTCCACACACAGAGCTGCCCTCTCAGCTGTCTCCCCTAGAGCCCTTTGTCTGATAGATCTTCTGTGGCAATTATTGCTACCTAAACACAGTGGCTAACACCAACCAGAGCAACTGCAAATGTTTTTCTTACAGAAGGCAGGTAGGCATCCTGGCCACACACTCCAGGACTTCTTCACAGAGCCCAGTTTCAAATTTAACCTTCTTTCCAGTAGCGCAAGTTTACTGCCCACTGCTTCCTCCCTACAGCACAGCCAAGGAAGGAAGATGTGATTTATAGCTCCTGTTTCTAGTTAGGTTAATCTTTTGCCCAAATCTCTAATTATTTTGTTTAATATTGTATTGGCACAAAGGCAAATTGAGTCCTAAAGTTATAGATATCACAGCACTAGCTTGCCAAAGAGCTTGCTGTGATTTATTGGCATGGGGTTACCAGACCCTGCTGATAGTAAATGCTCTTTCTCTTTTTGTCTAGCTCTGCTCCAAATTCTAAATCAGCAATCAAAGGAAATGTCATTGCCTGGCACATCATTGCAAATGGACTGGGGGTATCTATGATCAGCTGCTGCAACATTCTGTTTTCAGACTTTATTTTACAGCGCAGAAGCTTGAATTACCCTCAGTGCTTTCACACAGTTTTAATGGCACTTTGTCAGAGCACACTCCGAGTCCTCTCAGAAAATAAATGTCACCAACAGAGTGAAACATTACAAAGATGATTCCAAAGTGCACACATTCAGGAACACTGCAATCCTTGTCAAACCTAATAGGGGCACTCACAGCAAAAAAAGCCGAGTGTCTAAGTGAAGTACCTGAGCTAGAAGGCCAATTACATCAACTGCAAAACAACTGTGAGATGGGCTGCTAAAATAATCAATGCAAATGCCTCAAAATTCAGTGGAAGCCCTCCTGTAGATTGTAGTGGGAGGAGAAGCAAACTCTTACCTGTATATATTTGCTTAACGTTTTAAAATCAGAGAGGATTAGTCAGTAACTCAGGAGTCCACACTGATGGCTACTGAGAAAATCAATTAAGTAAAATAAGATCATTAAGCAGTAATGAATGTTGTCACTGGTTATCCTTTGTTATCCTATGTACTGACTTAATTATTTAATGAGAGTTCAATATTCATTCACTATCAGATTCTGAGATTCTTTCCATTCCTACTTGGTGAGGTGACAACAAAGTTTAGAATCAGAATAAATCCGGATCAGTCCATGAACTCAGTAGGAATAAGAACAATGCACAGGGTCTACCAAACAGGCCTAATACATTGGTCTTCCTGTAATATTCACATCTAGAGATAGCAAGAATGTTACACAAAAAACAGACTTTAAAAATCTCACATTTTGAAGGTGAAATGTCTGCATCTCTACTCATACATAGGTAACTTGAGCCTAGGTGACTGCTTAGTACCTGCAAAAAAAGTTTCTTTTTAACAGAAAATGCTTATCAGAGTTATATGCTTTAATTAATCATTTTGGTTTAGCTCTTGTACAAACCAAAAATACAAATAGAAAACTAGTAATCAATTATGAAGATTTTAGATGGCAAGAACTGCATTTATCAAAACTGCATTTATCAAAAAATTTCATAATAAACAAACAGTATCCTCCCCAACAGTTAGGAAACCTTGTGTTTCCTCAGTGCCTTTTTTTTGAGGGCAACATCTTCATGCATTTCCACATTTCTTTATACAAACACACTTCCTACATAATATATTCTGCTGTGTATCAGTGTTAAACAGGTAATGAGTGACAGAAGACTCAAGCACTGCCCCAAAGTCTACCTTGTCTGTAGGGCAGAGAGCAGATCACTCATCATCACACAACACAAGTCACACAACAAATTAGTCATCAGATCCACCACCACACCTTGGACTTCTCTGGTGGTTCTCGAGGTCACTCTGCTTCCATGCTACAGATTAGAAAAGCAGCCTGGGTGACATCATACAGGTGGTCAAAGAGAACTGTCCTTTTTCCCAGAGGAATTTCTCTTGCCAGTGTCAGCACAAATAAAGACCAACACCCACAAAAAACCCCAGACACTACTTAGAGAACTGATGCCGTCATCCCTTTCAATCGGAAATGTCCTTAGAGGACAGCGCTAACTAGAAAGATTGGTCAGCAAAGCTTGAAAACAGTGGAAATCTATTGAAAAGAAAGACAGGGAAGGTTTTGCCAAGGCACATATTACTCATGGGTCCCAATCACATTGTGCCCAAGCTTCTACCCCTGCTCTCCCCCAACATATAAGGGCTGCAGCCAGAAACACAGCCCCTTAGAGGAGTTGTGTCTCAGGAAGCTGAAGGGTTGGCTGAGCACATTTGCTTCATTGCACTTCTACATCATTAACTTATTTGCTTGTAGCTTTCATTTTCAGACTCACTGCACATAGCAATTTTGGCTTCCATATTTTCTCTTATAATTTACTGGCTCATCAGAGACAGATACAGAGTGAGAAACCTGAGTGGAAAGCATGTCTTCATAACAGGCTGTGACACTGGACTTGGAAACTCCCTGGCTAAATGGCTTGACAGAAGGGGATTTTGTGTCATTGCTGCATGTGCCTCAGAAAATGAAGGCCAAGAGCTACAGTCCTGCTCTTCACCCTCCCTGAAGACAGTGAATCTGAACTTAGCAGACTCCAACAGCATTGCCAGGGCTGTGGGGTTTGTGACCGAAGAGACAGCTGATAAAGGTAAGTGGCAAGGCAACTTTCCAGAAAAATGATTCAATATAACCAAATCTGGTCTAGCTAAAAGTTCCCTCTCCACTCAGAGGCATTTTTCATCTTACTAGTGAAACACATCCACTTTTCAGTTCTGTCATTTCTTAGTTCAGAGAGATTCCCTCCACCAATGCTTCCCATTGCTTTCACCAACAGGGTGCCTAACAATCTAGTTGCTCAGTCTGTTAAAACCAGATCATTCCCAGGTGTGTTTTTCAGTCTCTTCTCAGTGCAGCTGAAGAATGTCAGTGGAAGGAAGGTGCTAAATGATACCAGAAAGAACTTTCTTGACAGTAAAATCACCCCACTCAATTAAAAATGGTCAGTGCAGGGATTCTGCAGCCCTCCTCTAGTAAGCAGAAGAGGATATTTTTGCATGGCTGAATAAGTCTGACACTTGCATTGTACACAACAATTGGACTGACTGTAACAACTAAACTCAATTTCAGACAGTTTTCTTAGAGTTGTTATATAGGGAGCTCTCACTACTGCTATCATACACCCCTGAGCACTCATGTAAAAGAGGAAGAGTTTGTCCTTGGATACCTATGAAAGGTGTTAAAAAATAAAACTGAAGTGATGGGCTTTGCAAAGGGTGCTAAACAGACCTACATGGTAAATATATTCAACTGAGGCAATATATGTTTCTTTATCTGCAATGATAGCTGAGACTAGACATTGCTAAAGGCAACAAAAGGGGATCACAGCAGTGCAACTACCACCTGTAACACAGTTATACCAAAAATTCAATTGGTTTATGAATTAATTAACTACTTAAACCAGCAAAACATACATCTTCTACCAGTAGGACTTTCTCCTCAAAGCTTGTAAAACACCATTGACCTTGTCATGAATACTGCAGACCATTCTTGAATGGTCTGCAGTATTGAGAGCAAGGTAAACAAAATTATTAGCACTTACTTCCTCCAGCAGGCTTCTGCTTCCAGCTTGTGGAAAGCCACACGTTGTCAGTCAGGACAACCACTGCCGACACTGTCACCTCAGTCTGTGAAACTCTTTATGGAGGCTGAGTGCTGGACTTTCAGCCTTTCCCCCCAGGCACAGGCTGTCCTCAGCAAACTCTTAGAAACGTCACTATTTATCTTAAGTTCCTCAAGTAATTTATAAAGGTAGTAAAGCAGTATTATCAATACACAGTGTTAAGCTAGTATCTTTAGAAGCACTGACTAGTTCTACACATCTGGCTCAGACCTTTAGACCCCAAACCAGAAAATTCAGTTTCTCCACTTTTATGCAGGCTCTTTGATTTTCACAAGAATATAAGTGCATATTAGGAGCCTACATACTTGAGTCATCTGGATAATAAAGTCTGGTATGGTGGCATATATCTCCAACTAAAATAGTTTCCCTTGAATACTTAACCCATGCTCTTTTAGAGTCATTGCCTAAGGCCTTCAGCAAATTTTACCAGGTGCACAGAGTAGATCATACAGGCAAACCCCAGACAACTGTATTAATCTCACTGAGGTTTTTGCAGACTGTGTGCTTGGTTTCCAATGCACTTATAATACTCCAGGTATTATATAATACTCAAGATATTGCCATATACTGAAATAAATGGTATTGCAATCCTCTTAGGGCTTTTTGGCTTGGTGTGCAACGCTGAAGGAACAGCTCCTGTAGCACCCACTGACTGGCTGAGGATTGAAGACTTCCATTCAGTGCTGGATGTCAATCTGCTGGGATTGATTGAAATCACACTCAAGCTTCTGCCGCTTCTGAAAAAAGCTGAGGGAAGAGTGGTCAATTTAATTAATGCCAAAGGCCTCATGGCTTTTGTAGGGGGTGGCTACAGTCTGTCCAAATGGGGCATGGAAGCTTTCTCTGACACCTTACGGTGAGTAGCCAGAAACACATGCATGAATCCAAGAACAGATTCCAGATGTGCTGAGGAAGGGTGACTGTATGTTTGCCCCTCTTGATTTCTCTCTGGAAATCTTGCCTAAAGAGGAGAAGGAAAATAAGATGATGTTCGTCATCAAAGTCTTTGTTTAGGATTTTAGTCTCCGCTACTATGAACAGACTCACCAGGCAACTGAACTAGGAAACATTTTCATATCCTAGACAAGTTGTTAGCATGCAGCTTTCAGGCATGTGAATCCACTGCATACATGAAAGTAAATCAACAGTAATTCCTGACACCCAGAGTTTCCTGGGGAAGCTGTATTTGCCCATACATTTTACTCTAATCTTCACAACAATCTGAATTGGATGATTCCAGACAGCAACCATAGTACCAAAGGTAGTTGTAACTTCAGAAAATTAAGCTGAGCACCCTTCACTGAAGCCAGTTGTTCTGTACTGCCTCTAGAAGACTAAGGCCCAGCCCACTGAGTCAAATCTTCACAAGGACTAGAAAACCTAGTTTCAAACCATTATGAGAACTTAGATAAAGAAAGCAAATAGAAAATAATGGCTAATGTACATGTGGTCCATTCCTTTGTGCACTTTAGGATGCATCTGCCTGGGCCTCTTAAGCTGCGCAGTAAGACAAAGAGGCCACTTGCACCTCAAAGGAGTTGTATTGAAACTCAGAATTACACAGAGGGAACAACATTATAAGAAAACACACTAACCTTTATAGCACTAACATTTAATCATTTAACCATAGCCCTTTAACCATAGGATGGAGAATAAAGATCTAATACAACTGAAAATTTTTGCTTACTTTGACTTTTTCCCAGGCACTTTAATAATCTGTTCCCGTAAACTAAAATGATGGAACAGTATTTGAAATAGTCAAAAGTTTTAGTATGATAATATATGACAAAGATGCAGCTGGCTGCTGCATCCTTTGCATCAGTCCAATATAAACCACACAGAGAGATGTGAATCTACTTGATACTCCTTTTTTTTTAAAATCTCATTTAATTGCCTGCTGTTGTTTGGCAGGACAGGAACACTGCTATGAAGCTAATTTGAACATCTCAAAATAATTCTGACATTTGAAGATAAGAATATTCATTTGTGTGACAAACTTTCCGCTTATGTTTAATAGTCATGCCATTATCGGGTGGTTATTGGAGTTTTTATCCTTCTAGGGTAGAGATGCAGCATTTTGGAGTGAAAGTAAGCATCCTTGAGCATGGTTTCTTTAAGGCAGGAGCTGTTAATTCAGATATCATCGAGAAATACCTCTTCAGACTTTGGAACGGACTGACTCCTGAGATCAGGGACTCCTACGGAGAAAAATACTTTGTTGAATGTAAGTAGAAAAAGAATTGTATGAGAGCTTAGGGGAGATATTATCAACATGTATAAATACCTGAATTGAAGCTGTAAAGACAACAGAGCCAAGCTCTTTTTAGTGCTGTCCAGGTAGGACTCGAGGCAATGGGCACACACTGAAACACAGCATGTTCCTGTTGATCAGGGTTCATACTTTTGGAGTGAGGATGATCAAGGACTGGCACAGGTTACCCAGGGAGGTTGTGGAGTCCCCAGTCTTTTGAGATATTCAAAAGCCATCCAGACATAGTCCCAGGCAACCTGGTCTAGGGGACCCAGCTTGACTAGGGGGGCTTGGTACCAGAGGTCCCTTTCAACTTCAACCAATCTGTGATTCTGTGAACATTTTCTTGTTAACTTTGTTAACACTCACCAAGAACCCCTCACTGCTTGTTCTGGACTATGTGTATGTTAGATGAGGCCTGAACTACTAGTTCACACATAGATTGGTGAGATGTGAGGTCATGCTACCTTCCTTAGTCCCTCAGTACTTAGAGGTAGGATCCCAGGTGGGAATGAATTGCTATGCCCACATGCTCAATTGGTCTGAAAAGTTGTGCTGTGTCACACTGCACTTTCTGTACAGAACATCTGGCTCACAATATGGGCCAGGGAGCTTTTTTGCTTACTGGGCTCCTGGGTATTTTGCAGCCTTTCTGGTCTCTGCTCTGCTGTAGCTGTGCTTCTCCCAGCACTTGAGCCAGTAGTTTAAAGCAAGCCTGAAGCTATAGCCAGACTTTGAATACAAAGAATACTCTCATGGAGAATGCTGTATATAAATGCTTTCAGGTTTATTTTCTTCTTTCCAGATATAAAAGCACAAAGATCTTCAGTCAGAAGACTGTGTGACCATGATATTTCTAGTGTCATAAAATGCATGGAACATGCCCTGATAGCAAAGTACCCCAGGACACGATACAGAGCTGGATGGGATGCAAAGTTCTTTTGGCTGTTTCTCTCCTATGCCCCAACATGTTTATCTGACATGCTGTTGCGTTTGACGTTTCCGGCTCCAGCAGATAGCAGGAGATCAGTTCCTGGAGTTCTAATTAATGTCTAGTATTAAACCAGTATCAGCTCTGCACAAATAAATACTAATACTGTCAAAACTAGATGTCCTCTTTACCAGTTACTAGACTGTTTAAATTCCTTTCAGAAGACACTTTCTCCATCCCCCACCTGTCCTTACCTGAAATTTCTGAGTTTGCAGGTAGGCTTGTAAATCCAGCATGTTTTTGAAGGCCATTTTTTTTGCTCAGAAATGATACCTCTATAGGATCTGCATTCATAAAATATTCAGCTACAAAGCTAGTTGATACTATTCACACAATAAAAAAATTGGAAATAAGGGAAAATAAAATCACGAGAAGAATCAGTTTTTCACGTTGACTTCATCAACACATAGGCTGCTAGTGATCTTGAAATAGAACAATGGTCTTTCAGAACACATATCTTATATATGTACCTTACAGAATGTATGTAGCCAGATTTAGTCATCTATTTCACTGGTAGTTTGCCCATGGTCAAATTCAGGAGTTGATAATCTTCAAAAGCTTCTGAGCACAAGACATGAAGTCAAAAAATAACAAAGCCCAGTTATTGCAACATATTCCAAAAATTACAATTACGGTATTTGACCATGTCTAATCACCTGATTATTCAAATGTGTAGAACAAAAACACAAGCTTTTTTACAGATATGCAATTATGGGGAAAATCAAAACACCATTGTACTATGCAAACAGCATATCCAAACATGTATTTTAAATTTCTTCTTAATATTAGAGAAATTTATGTGGAAAAATACTAAAAATAACATGCATTCACATGTCTTTCACCCTTGGTGTGCTCTGCAAGTTAAAAGTATTGTTATTTCACGTATCAGATGAAACAGGTCATTAGTGTATGCTATGACAAATTCTTTCAAGTGTACAAAGAGCATGTTCAGAATAGAAGAACGTTAGCTGAGGTTCCTGTGCCTCTTGTACACTATTTCTATCTGTTGGCCAGAGGTTCACAAAGTGGTGTTCCTAGAGATATTAAAATTGAAGGGGTAAAGGTTTTATTTACTTAAGTGCTGCACTGGTGATTAATCATTAATGTGCAATTCAATTAAGTTTAGAAAAATACCTTGTGCAGGTCAGAACTCCAAACACAAGAAGTTTCATCACTGTGTGTAAGAGGGGGCACGTGTGTGTGTTTGTACATGTGCAAGAAAAGGACAATGTAAAAAGTGTTAACAACCTTTAAGTTTTCATTGGGGTTCTATTCTCTGGCAAATGGCTTCAAGAACAAATTTATTTTACTTCATTTCATGATAAATACCTGATTAATATCTGGTCTGACAGCTATAAAGAGAATGTACATGAGAAAACTCAACGGTGTAATTTAGCAGCCCTGTAGTTGCAGATTACAGAGTTGCTGAGATCTCTCAGCCTTCTTTGAAACAGAAAGAGTTCAGAATTCAAGAATTCAAGCAGGGACTGTCCTTTTAAGGGACAAGGAATACAAGTGAAAAATGAAGCTAGGAGTAGAATCTAAAGCTTCTGTTGAACAAAGCACCGAAACCTAAACATAAACAGAAGGGTACATACACTGTGCTGTGCTACTGAGAGGAAGAGTCCCAGCTGAAGCTTAGGAATCCTTCACCATCAGCTGTGTTAAACAACCAAACCTACATACCCCTTACCTACACAGTAACTCAGGGATGCTTTTCACCCACATCTGAAAAGTTATAGTTAGTACAGGGGAAAAGCACATCTCTGATATGGCTGACAGAGTAGCATTTTTCTCTAAGGGTGGTTCCAGATCTTTCTGTTGACAAATACCGTTGCCAAAAATGACGCTACTTTTTCTTGTGGTATGCAACTGCATAGCACCATGTCTTTTGGAAACGTCAGCCCTGCCTTCTATCTTTAAAAAACATTGTGAACTCTTTCCTTAAGAACAGCAACCTGTTTCCCAAAGGCATCCTTACAGATGCGTCTGTCGTGCTGCAGACTCCAAGAAATTTTCTACATTAAAGAATTCAGATATTAAAAAATGCCTTTAAAAAAACCTAATTTGCTTAAAGCTAAAAAAAAAAAAATCAAAGCATCAAATTCTGATCTCAGATGTGAAAATTGATTGAACTAACATTTTAATCACTTACGTCCATACTACCTTGAAAGTCAGTATCTCGATAGTAAGAGTTTCCTGTTTCAAGGGCCAGTTTATTGTGTGAAGCACTATTCCTATGTGACTTGATCTAAAGCACTGTTCTTTCCATCTCAGAGTGCATTGAAGTCTCCTCGACTGAAAAAAGTACATAGAGCCTTTACACAAATTATGGAATAAGAGTGTGATAAAATAATACATTTATTAGATTTATTCAGCAGCATCATTTTTCCAGTTGTCTTTTCTAATCAAAGTATGTTACAAAGTAATTACAAGCATTCTAATTAGAAATAGTATATATTTTGAGAATTTAGATATAAAACAATCAAATAGTAGAAGTCTCAATTATTATAACTTTAGGAATCTTTTATAAAAGTAGCTAGCCAGGAATGCTGAAGAATATGTTCCTGTAATCAGAGTTTCCTCAAATGGTTCATGTTGTGGGAACTATCCTCACCAATTAATAGAAAAGCTATTAAGATCAACAGTATGCTCTGATGGAAGGTTATAGAAACAACCTTCAGATAACTACAAAGACTGCACTAGTAGAAATTGTTTCCCTTTCTATTCATGTCCACCTCAGGAAATAAATAGTCAATAAAATTAAATTTTTACATTAAAAAAAAACCCTGAATAATTTCTTAAATGAACCAGTATCTTTCATATTATGCTGTTTGGAAATAAACCATTACAGAACTCTAGCTACTTCATTTAATAGCACAAATTACTTCCAGAGACTCCAGCCAAGAACAGAGCTATTCCATTGATGAGCAAGAGAAAATCTCATTAAGTAGTCATGGCACTAAAATCTAAATACATCCAATCTTTTTAGGAAGACTATTAATGTAATGGTGTTAATTGGAACCTAGAGGAAAAGTATGTGTTTTATAGATTGAGAGGAAATTGTCTCAGGCAGTTAAAATATTGTAAGAACAACATTTTCCACAGGTAACTCTTCAGCATAATGATGCTGTATTGACTCTTCCATCTTTTGTTTGACACAAGATAAACAGAGACACCCATTTTTACATACAGTAGTATATAAAAGGGTGCTAAAGATGCCCAGAGCACCAGGAGAAGTTTTAAAAGGTGCTGTTACAAAAGTTATAGTCTAAATACCCTGTCTATCAGTAATGTTCCTATATTTGCCTTGTTTGGTTCTTTTTTTAGTTTTAAGCATTTATATAATTAATTTATCCCTAAATATACGACCATTTCCATACAAATTTCTACTAGCAACATCACTGAACAAGATAATCTTAGAAAAATTTACAAATGTACAATATATTTATAACATTACTTTCAGACAGCTTCAGTGCAAAGATATACACATAGTACATCACGATAATTGTTCACAAAAATAGAAATTGGCATTTGTCAAAAAACAAGGCATAGTTTCAATGTACATCTCCAGCCGGTGGCTAAGAGATGTATATATTTTTATAAAGCATTTGAATGTGAACCATACTCTTCTGTTTATAAAAAATATATGTGCAAATGGATGTGTCTAATTTTCCCTAAATCAGTTACCTAGTTATACCACAGAGTCCTCTTTAACAAGATTGGCGGTGTCTTTAAATGTATCCTCTGTTGCTGTGTAAGCTAGTGGTTGGTCTCTCTTCAGAATAATCTTGGGAGGCAGTGAAGGAGAAGGGGTAGGGACATTTTCTGTGTCCTGTTGCCGTTCCTTTTCCATCTGGAACAATAATCATAAAATCCAAGGTTACATTCTAATGCACCATACAACCAACCTTAATTTTCAGAAATGTTAAATAAATATTTCTAAAGTCAAATATCACAACGTAAGTTATTTCTTCAAATCACCACCTGTAACAAAATTAAATGCTAAATTCACCTCAGGTAGTACAGCTAAGTAAATACAATACTACAAATTACTCTGGAACTTCTACTTTAATGCTTAGTGTCAGGACTAGTTTGATACGTCTACAGGCATGAGTGTGGATACTGTTCATAAGTGCTACATTCATTAGTGTTGGGGAAATGAATCTCTGGCTTTCTGAACTCTCTCACCTTGTTCAAGCAGTAGAAACCTACATTCTGCACAAAAGGCAGATAGTTTTAAGTCACATGACTTTGGGAAGAAGCTTCTTAAGTCACCTAGGCTATTTGGAAATTTTAAACTGTAAGATGAAAAGTGCTGGAATTACTGGTTCAAGTCAGCCGAACTTCAGAACTTCATCCCCAAGCCCAGGTGGAATTTCTTCAGCACACATACCACCTGTTGGCACACTGTCTGAAAAGAACTGTCTCACCCAACCACATGGATAAGAAAATAAGGCTGTTACAGAAACAGGCCTGCAGTGCACAGAGCTGTTGAATTCTTATGCAGTGCTGAAGCCAGGACTGAGAGGACAGAAACAGACACTTCACTCCTGGTGCAGTACAACAGCCTCCCAATTGTGCTGGGTCCTGGATCTGTGCCAGAAAGCACCAGGAAGCTGAAACCAGTCCCTGAGATCCCAGAGCAGGAGCAGACCAGAGTGTTCAGGCTGGGAATGCAGGGAAGCAGGCAATGCAGCTGTGTTGCCTGAGCTGAGCCATTCATGAAGACTGCTGTGTGGAAAGCAGCTGTTTCACACATCCTGTGCTCAACATCTCATTTCGCAGGAGACTCGGCAACTTCTCACACAATTACTTTAGTCCTACCCAAACCTGGACTGGAATTTCTGTGCTGCTTCACATAGCAGCAGAAACTACCTGTAATCTTTATCCTATGACAGCAAGAGCAAAGCCTACCAATATGTTATCTGAAAAATAAAATTATACAATATTAAACAATACCTCTGCATATATTGGGTTTTCAAAATTAGTGTTTTGTTTCATTTTTCTCTTGAAGAAACGCCACTTTGATTCCTGAAACATAAAAATTATTAGAAGTTTACAC